AAAAAAAAAAAAAAAAAAGACTTAGAAGAAGTGAAATCCTGAAAAGCTGTGAGCGCACGAAATGGAACATGGGCATGGACAGAACTATCCTCGTTATCTCTCATTTAAGATACACAAAACATCCTCGATGTGTCTTCCCTTGTTTTGTCTCCGTCGCTATATTTTAGTGAATGTAACTAAATGCTTTCATATTTCTCCCCGGCCCTTGTCAAGTTCCATGTTGTTCTCACAGCCTCAAATCCCGTAACAGGGACGATGATAGAAATAGCAAATTTTTTAAAGCAGTTCGAACACACTTTGTATACATTTTATTTAATCATCAAAACAAACTCATAAGAAAGGAGCTTGATTATCTCTCAGCTGCAGGAGACACAACTGAACTTCAGAAAAAAGTCATTGGCCAGAGTTACGCAGTAAATAGAAGAGGAAGTTCCATTCTCTTGTTTGCTGTTTTGTTGCCTCAATCATACATCCCTCTACTGTGATGTTTTCAGAGATAGAACCCCTATGATTACAAAGAAAGTATATCTGAAAAGACCTTTTGAAAATTTACAATGTGTTTTTCTTCAATGTTTATTTTTGAGAGAGAGAGAGAGCAAGCATGGGAGGGGGAGGGGGAAGGGGGAGAGGGAGACACAGAATTCGAAGCAGGCTCCAGGCTCCGAGCTGTCAGCCCAGAGCCCGACGCGGGGCTCGAATCCACGGACTGTGAGACCATGACCTGAGCTGAAATCGGACGCTTAACCGACTGAGCCCCTTCAGGTGCTCCTACAGTGTGTTCTTAAAATTAGACAAAAAGTCTTATTTTATTAAAATAAATTTTAAAAATGGCTCCTGCTCATAGAGAACATTTCAGTTATATATCCAAGACTTGTGTAGTCCAAACAATGTAAGACCATGTATTTTAAAAGTCCCAAGTTTGGTATACAATGGATTTTTTGATAATTTGGGGAGAAATCATATTACAACATTACCGGCTCCTTTGCCCCTGGACACACACACACACACACACAATTATATATATGTAAATGCAACTTAAAACTATCAAGGATGGGCGTCTGGGTGGCTCAGTCAGTTAAGCGTTCTGACTTAGGCTTGGGTCATGATCTCATGGTTTGTGAGTTCGAGCCCTGCATCAGGCTCCATGCTGATGGTGCAGACAGAGCCCGCTTGGGACTCTCTCCCTCCCTCTCTGCCCCTCACCCACGTGCACTCTCTCTCTCTTTCCAAATAAATAAAAAGTTTATTTTTTTTTAATGTTTATTTTTGAGATAGAGCATGCGAGCAGGGGAGGGGCAGAGAGAGAGGGAGATAGAGGATCTGAATCAGGCTCCAGGTTGACAGCAGAGAGCCTGATGTGGGGCATGAACGCATGAACCTCAAGACCATGACCTGAGCCAAAGCTGGATGCTTAACCGACTGAGCCACCCAGGTGCCCCAGTTAAAAAAAAAAAAAAAATCAAGGATACCCTTACAAGGGACAAAGAAAGGTATGGCAGACAAATTCAACTAGCATACACTGAGAACTTTGAAGGCAAAAACGCCTGCTCCAGACTTGGAAGTTGAGGAAAAGAGAATTCGGGCATCTTATGGGATGTGAAAGAGGGTCCTGGAGCTTGTGAGCTGAGGCCTCCGAATCACATCTATCTATTCCCATCTATCCCAAGACTGGCTAGGAGGCTCTTCAATGCTGTGAACTGCCAAGTGACCCTCAGATCAATCTCCTTGAGGGAGCCAAAGTAGCTCTCCCCTTCTCGTACTCGAAAAAGCATTAGCAGCCCCGGAAGGGAGGCGAATGTCGTGTGACAGTGAAGGTGACCGGTGTGGGCAGATAGCAGACTGGGCTCAGGAAGAGGGCCAGCATGAGGAGTTCACTACAAGCCCAAAGTGCTTGGGGACAGAGCTTCTCGTAGCTTCCGTTGAGGACATCTCCTTCCCTCCAGCCTGCCTTCTAGGCTCTTGCTACTCAAAGCGTGACCCCTGAACCAGCGATGGCATCACCACTCAGAAGCGTGTCACCAATTCACGGATGTGGGACCTCAGCCCTACCCCCCAGACCTACTATGACAGAATCTGCACCTTAACATGATCCCCAAGTGATGGGGTACATATTAAAGTTTGGGGAGCACCGATTTAGGCAATAATCCCAATTAGCCCTAGTTTGACTAAGCTTAGCGTAACCTCTTAATATCATCAAGCGTTCTGTTGAAGTGTTAAAATATATGACTCAGACAGTAGTTGTTTCTTTTCTCCTGCTGACTGTGGAGAAGTTCACCAGCACTTGACCTCAGTTTTACCGGGTCCAGATCCTGCTTCCAAGGTTACAGGATGGAAGGTCTTAAGTTCTCCAAAGGCCCACAGAGTGGGCTACGTGTTTCTCTTCCAAGATGTGCTTCTCCGAAATTCCAGGAGCAGCTGGGTTTCAGAAACGACACTTCCTACAGCACATGCTTTATGGACCTTGCTGCTGGTGGACTTCACTGTTCTGTCCCCAATCCCTTCCAGCTTAGCGACGCTATTTAATGGGGCTCTGAGATGATCTGGCCAACGGAGAGCAAAGAAACAAGATCCAGAGAACATAGGGAAGCAAATGAGAACTTCGGAGTCCCGGGGAATGAGAGAGAGAAGTGTCTGGCTCAGGGGATAGAGGCTGGGGCTGAGCCATGGGACGGGTTCCATCCGTTTGGGCACTAGACCCAAGATTGGGACCCACGGAAATATTGGAGTCCCAAAGGGGGGTGGGGGGAGTCATTGATTCCAAACTGTGAAAAGAAGATGAAAACAAGAAAGCATCGTCAATAGTTTGTTTCCATCCTTTGTCTGTGTGAACCTTTCCCCAAGAGTCCCGTCTGAAGAGACCTCCTTATGACAGGAGCTCTACTTTCTAGGCCTACACGTTTCAGGTCCCTTTAGTGCAGAGGCCGAGAGAGAGAGAGAGAGAGAGAGAGAGAGAAAGCTAAGATAAAAAAGAAAAAGAACCCCCAAACTGGGGACATCTGAATGGGAAGAAAAGAGGATATGAAGGCTCAGGGACCCAACAGTTTCATTCGTAAATAAGCAAAACTAGTTTTGAGGAGATTTGCTGGGATGCTGTCAGCTGGGCTGATGTAAATATTCCCACCCCAGGCCACTCCCATCTCTGCTGGAGCCCTTCTGGAACCGGGACCTACTGTTGGTGATGCTTCCCCGGGAACAGGAGGGCTGTGAGTGACATTAAGTGCTAACTGCTGGGCTACTTCCTGCCGAGACGTACTGAAAACTCCTGGGTGGCTCAGTTGGCTCATGGCATGATCTCACAGGCTGTGAGTT